TGCTCTTTTCGACAACAGATGAAATCAACTGGCATTTTACAGGTTTGATTTTGTCAGTTCTCTTCAACTAAAACGGGAGGGCCACAGCACCTCCCATTAGCCCTAGCCAACACAGCTAATGCTAAAGCAGGATTGGAGCTGAAGCTGAACGACATCTGGAGGACCTCAGATGTTTAAAAGAAATAAATACTAACAACAGGGATAGTTGGTGGTGAGACAACTAGACAGTATCGGCAGCCCAGATTGTCTCAGACAATAATGGGTCTGTTGTAAGTTTGTGGCTTCGTTGTCAACACATACAACCGGTTTGCTGGGTAGACATCCAGTCTATATACAGTTGTGCCCCGCTTTACGATTGCCCCGCATTATGATGAAACCACATTACGATGATCTTTTTGCAATCACTTTTGCGATCGCAAAACGATGATCTGAATAGGGGTTTTTCGCTTTGCGATGATCGGTTCCCTGCTTCGGGAACCGATTCTTCGCAAAATGACGCTTTTCCTCCAGCTGATTGGCATTTCAAAATGGCCGCCGGGTAAATAAAACTCCAGCTGATCGGCGTTTCAAAATGGCCACCGGGTAAATAAAATGGCTCCCCACTGTTTTCTGGGACGGATTCCTCACTGCACAAGCACCGAAAATGGCTGCCCTATGGAGGATCTTCGCTGGACGGTGAGTTTTTAGCTCATTGGAACACATTAAACGGGTTTTAATCCATTTCAATGGGCTTTTTATTTTTGCTTACGTTTCCGTTCTACAGCAATTTCGCTGCAACGAATTATCCTCGTAATGCGAGGCACCACTGTAAAAGGTGCGCAGAGCTTATAAGGACGGGAAATGGAACTCAAACATCCTGTGGCTAGTCCAACCCAAAGCAGACCTATTAAATCAATAGGGCTCTGATAAGTGAATATTTGCTAAAGTCCCACTGATTCAGTAGTTCTTTGTGGTTTCTGTGATTCGCACATATGGGTTCCTTCTGCACCTGTGCAGACATCCTTGTAATCTTCCAGAGCCTAAAAGCCACTCTTCCCTCCCTCTGCCAGTGCACATGTGACACGACCCAACTCCAGTTGCAAACAAGTGGATTTAGCCCAAAGTCTTAAGAACCTGATCCTGAGATTCAGCTCCTATGGAAAAATTTGCCCGCTAGTTCCTTGGGCCCTGGTCATTCTGTCAATATCCACCTGCCCTTTTCTACATGAAAACAGAAGGAAGAATCAAAAGGAGGGGAAGCAGGAGCTAATAGCAGATCAGGCTGAGCATGGCAAAGCTGGGGAACAAGACAGAAAAAACAAACTTATTTAGAGTTTATAAATAGTGTCTTTATTCATTTCAATGCCGCTCAACATAAACCATCCAGTGGTATTTTATTTTCATATGTAAATCATCACACTTAGCATATAGTTACCAGCTTTGACACACTAGGCTAATTGCTATGACAAGAGTGAGAGAAAAGTGTAAAATTCAGGACATATGCAGGGGTAACATCTGGATGCTGAGAAAAGCATCAGTATTAAGACAAAACTAAATCCCCACATGGAATAGATTTCAAACATGTTATCTTTATCGCCCTCATGTGGTGCAAGCCGGGAACTCCACCACCTGCTTCAAGAAACTCAAAATACTTCCACAAATATTAACGTGTTTCTCTTCTGTAGCTGTTGTCAAGCAGTTCCAACAGGCTGCAGAATTCCCATCCTCAAGCTATTTCCTAATGAAATTTAAGTTCAAAGGTGATTACTTATAGCACCGTTCATGCCAACACTCATGTCAGACATAGAAGGTGGGTCGTGACAGTAGAACACATGCTAGAGCAGGGTGGGTAATGGTGACTATAGTTTCCCATAATCCCTGACTAACGGCTATGCTAACTAGTTAATGGGCTAAAAGGAGGAGGAGGACCACCACATCCCTGTGCTTGAAAGGAATCAAACATGTTCTTTGCATGTGGGACGTGGTGGCGCTGCGGGCTAAACCGCAGAAGCCTGTGCTGCAGGGTCAGAAGACCAGCAGTCGTAAGATCGAATCCACGCAACGGAGTGAGCTCCCATTGCTTGTCCCAGCTCCCGCCAACCTAGCGGTTCGAAAGCATGCAAATGCAAGTAGATTAATAGGGACCACCTTGGTGGGAAGGTAACAGCGTTCCGTGTCTAAGTCGCACTGGCCATGTGACCACGGAAGATTGTCTTCGGACAAAAATGCTGGCTCTATGGCTTGGAAACGGGGATGAGCACCGCCCCCTAGAGTCGGACACAATTGTCAAGGGGAACCTTTAATTGTCTCGATCCTGCAGAACTGGGTGTAGAACCCAGGGAGAGGTTCCAGGATTCTCAGCAGAGCCATTTCTCCTCTTCAAGAGCACAAGAAAAACATCTCGGCTCAAAATTTAAGGAACTGATTACCAAAAGATTTTGCAACATATTCATTAACTGTATTTACATTTTGCCTTCCTTCCACGGAGTGTTATGGCAGCATGAACAGTTTTTTCCCTTGCAAACCATTTTCTCACAACCACCCGATTGAGACCAAGAGGGACTGGCCCAGGGTCAGCCTGTGAGTTGGCCTGCTCTGCAAAGGAGAAAAAACTCAATATCCCGTCTCAATTCAATACCCAAATCAGTGCAATTCACGCAGAAGGCTTAGTCAGTGGCAAAGTACCACAATGTTTATATGGAACCCCATCAGGCCAAAATTGTATGTCATTGCATGTCAATTACTATATGGAACAGTGGGGAGGGGGGGAATGCCCTGATGGCATTTGTTGGCCACAGTAAAAGTCGGTCATCTTGGATTGCCAGAACAAGTTCTGGCAGTTTCCACCCCATGGGCACAATCAAGCCCCAAAAGGTTCCAAAGCAAGATCCTCCTCCCTCTGACCAGCGGCAGAGAAAGGAATCCCCATTGTTATCACTAATCAGTGACACAAGATCAGTGATAAGTGCTGAAATATCCTTCTGCACTATGACTGGACACACTCCATTCAAAGGAGTCTGTGCTGCTAACTTCAAACAAGAGTCAGATTTAAAACTGTTTATTCCTATTGTTCATCGTCCCACCGAAATGGCATCTGATCCAGCAGGAATCTTTTTGTATCGGCAGGAAGTGGGGAGATCCGTCCTCATCTGCCATCCCTCCAAGCCAGGAAGAGCTGGATGGGAGGAAGGGCTGGATGGAGAGTATGTAGGCACACCGAGACATCTAGTTTCCTGAAATGCCGGTTTTCATCTCTTTCACCACTGCCCCACCCCAAGTTGGCATAGCAAGTCACTTACCCGTACAGTATTTTAAGATTTTAAAGGAGGCCGTCCTGTTTGATGATGATTAGCTAAGGAAAGCTCACTATGTGGTGAGACATTAGCATGCCCACTCTGTACCAGTTCCTAAAACATTCTCCCCATCTGATCCCAGTCCTACTGTCATTGGAGCACCAGGTTAAAACTTATTTGTCACGCATTTTTGAGAGTTGTGCTGTCTTATATTTAGCCTTCTGTCCTGTTTTTATGCTTTCCATTAGTTTTTTACTATAGTTTCATGATCTTATTGTATTATATTGTAATGTACCGTATTTTTCGCTCCATAAGACGCACCTTTCCATAAGACACACCAATTTTTTAGGAGAAGAAAACAGGAAAATACAATGTTTTCTTCGCTCCATAAGACGCACAGACTTTCCACCCCCCTGTTTTGTGGGGGAAAAGTGCGTCTTATGGTGCGAAAAATACGGTATTTTGTTTTTCTAATGCCTCTTATATTCTGATATCCTAGGATGAATGGAAAGCTAAAAATACTTTTAATGCATAGAACCTTCACTTGTATTTAGGGACTATGCAAAATATGCCCTACAAGGATCCTCCATATGTGGGGGCCATGTGCCTATTTTACTGGAGCCAGATCCATTCCACTTCCCCTCAATATAAATACTGACCAGAGTTATGACAAATTATGATTTAGTCTACTGGAATCAGATTTGTGATATGAAGCTCTGCCTCTGCACACAAGCCATGGTTTATTGACCAGACAAACCCCATTCTGAAGCCGTGCTTCACTGTTGGCTTATAAACCATTGCTTCTTTAAATCCTGGCTTGTCATGTCTGAATACACAAGTAGTGTTTATCTCAGGCTTTTTCCCCCAGCTGGCCATCCCAATCAGCAGTTGACAAAAGAAACAAAAAAAGGGGGAAGACAAGCCACAGTTTGCTTGGTGTACAATTTGGACTGAGCTAACAAACCATAGTTAATAGAAATCATGACATAAGTACTCACCCTTTGAAACTTAAAATGCAGTTCAACAAGCATCGCTACTGAACAATGTCAATCAATTTCAGTGGGGTTCTTGTACACACATTTATTAAAAGGACTGAAATGTCATTGAAAAGTTGTGGATGGGAGTTGGGGGAGGAGTTGCCTTCTCCAGGGGAATCAAGTACACACACAAAGTTTTGCACCAGAGTATAATTCAGCAACGCTATATTAGTAACTTCCATAGTGTCGTTAGAAACAAGCAAAGCAAATAAAACATTTCTCAGTAACGTACACATTATTTCACATTGCAAGGCCTTGCTGTGATTTAGATATGTTCTCTTGAGAAGCATAACCATCTATTCTCTATATTAAAAATTAGGAAGTTTTTCTGTATCCTTAGGTGTCTGCATTTAGCAAAAAAAAGAGAGTACCTAACAAGTGAGATCAGTGACATAAACATTAAAGCATCATCAGTGTGCTGTGATTTTTGGCATTTCACACAAACACTGATTACAGGCACATCTTAACTTCAAGGTTATACAAAAGCATTTCCTAACATGAAGACAATGGCCGTAATCCACCGAGAACCTCTCTCTTGTCCAAGCTGAGTAGAAAAGGAGGTGCCCCAGTGGGTTATTCCCAAAGAAAAGCAGTGCAGCATTTCCATCAATTCTAGTTTAAACAATTTTTTAAAGTGAGAAAATATACTACCAAAAAAAGGAAAGTCCTCCCTAAATGCGAGTCAGCTTACCTTTCTTTAACCACTTCACTGGATTGCTTTCTAGTGGAAGAAACAGAATTCTTGGCACGTTGCTCGAGCGAGGGTTGCGTACTGACCAATGCCTTATAAAACTGAATTTTAAAAGCATGACATTTAGTTAATTCCAATTTCACCACTATACCAGAAACCTCAGCTTCTCTAAAAATTTGAGAAATCAGTGCCTTATGTACAACATCTGTTTTTTAAAAGATCAGTAAATCGACATTAGTTTATCCCAATCACCCTGCATGCTGAAGGTATTTTAGTGCCAAGGGCATTTTAGACAGAATTGTTCATAGGCTGCTTTTCCCAACCTGGTACTCTCCAGATGGTTTGGACTACAACTCCCAGCATTCTTGATCACTGGCTCTCCCGGCTGGGGCTAATGGATTTGAAGTCCAAAATGCCAGTAGAATATGAGACTGAAAAAAGCTGCTTCAATTTGTTTTCAAAAAGGAAAAGCTTGCCGAGGTACACACACACAGTTGTAGGTGTGGTGCAGATCTCAGCTTCAGACTTAATTGTTACCTCTCTATTTCTCTTGCCCCTACAGGGCTCCAGCATCTTCTACAGTAAAAATTTATTTTCCGCATAGAGATACTAGGAAGCCACCTGCAGTAAAAGTGATAATTACTATTGTATACTTTTTTGCATTATTTTTATCTCCCCCCCCAATTTATACACATAGCTTGCTACCACCAACTGTTTTATTTCTATTTAAGCTTTCTGTATCACGTAAATAATTCTAGTAGTGCAAAAAATAAATCTTTAAAAAGACAGCCCCCACTACCCCAGTATAAAGTGCAAACATTACAAATATGTTATCACGATCCAATCCACAACCCAATTAAACAAAAGCATCTGAAACTCAGCTGGCATTGGCTTCACCCTGAAATGTACACATCTAGAAAGCGAGCCAAATTGGATCTCCTTGGGACTTCTGAATGGACAGAAGCGTTTAGGACTGGAATATACTGTACTCCCACTGAAATCAGACTAATTCTGGAATCAGGAGAGCAATAATAGGGGAATAAGCCTAATATGATGGCTGCACTTGACCTCCAGAAATCCCTAGCTTATGATTCCTGAATTAGTGCCCACTACCCAATAAAAACTGTTTGGCTCCTCCCACTAACGGGAGTAGCATAATTTTGTATATTGACTTATTAAATTTAAATCCCACTTTCTGTTTATAAATGAGAATCAGAAATATATACGCTCGGTGTCACAAAGGCTTGGTGTCCATCTTAACCATGAATCCTGCCTTGTCTTTCCCCTAACACACTCGAATCTAAAGTCAGAGTTCTAAGCCAGAAAATCTAAAGCCAGAGCGACACAATCTGAATAAACGACTTGTAGGTACCCAGTGTTTTCTCCATTGTTTGAAAGCATAAGCCTGGGGATCCCACTTCAGAGGTAAAATAAGTTTTTGCCTCTAGATTGGTTTCTGATCGGGGTGGATTAAAAAAAACAATGTTTTTTTTAAAACCAAATTGATTTAAATCACAATTTAACAATGTTTTTTTAAAACCACATTGATTTAAATCACAATTTAGGTTTTTAAATTTAAATCATTAAAAAAATCTGATGTTTTTAAATTTCAATTGTGATTTGATTTAACTGAAATCCACCCTGTTTTGGGTTACTTTAGCCACTCCCATTGCCGAGAGGAATGTAGTGGGGTATCTGTGAAGGATAAGCCAGGATTCTCCACTGCCTGATACAGCCGAAGTTCAATTATATAGCCGATCAATGGAACGAACTACACCCAACCAGGCTGCATATGTCCTTTATCCACATGCACTACAGTTTAAATCAACAAAAACAAAACACAAATTGTGTGCCCTGCAGGGTCACCCTGCATGCAGCCAACTTACGAAAAAGCCATAGTTTGTCGCCCTTGCATGGTAGCATCATGGTTTGCTGAAAAAAGGCAAACCATGAGACACTTCTTCCCCAGTATACTGTATACATTGTTTGAAAAAAGTACTCCAGTGACAAAAAGCAATAGCTTTATTAGGGTATATTTTGTTCCGGCTTTCTATGTGTTTTTTTTAACTTACATGGCAAGCGGTCACAAAATATGGAGCAATTGTTTACAGCTCTTAAGATAACAATTCCATAGAATGTCTATACATGATAGGTCTACTTCTGTGTAGATGCTTCAAATGTGACTCTGGAGCAGTACCTTCCAACCTTGGGTCCCCAAATGTTCTTGGACTAAAATTCCCAGCAGCTTTCACCACGAGTAAATATTTCTGGGCCTTGTAGTCCAAGAACATCTGGGGAACCAAAGGTTAAGAATCATAGCTCAGCCTAGAGTATTAAAAAGCCCTGTTGGTGCATGAGTATTCAGCTTTACAGAGATGCAAACTATCCTAACTTCATTAAATTCATCTTCCTTTTAGCTCTGCTGGAAGGATTCAACTACTTTTCCGATATATGTCAAGTAGACCCTTGAAACCTGCTTCAATTTGACAAGATTTACTATGAGATATTCAAAAATGCAAGCCATAAATCCCCTGGGCATACAGAATTAGTTGCCTCATTCGCTGGATCCCAATCCTCATGATTAAATCTCCCAGATTTTAAAAGATTATTGCAACTCAAATGGATGAGAGGTTTTAAATAGCAAAACACTGGCTGAAATCCTGTTACTTACCATAGTAAGCCATACTGCAATAGGTCCACTAAATCATTGGAGATTTGGTGAGCCAATGCCTTGTAAGTTTCACAGATTCAAATGGGCTTGCTTTCAGTGCGATTTCTTACATCAAAATAACTCAGAACTCAAGTAGACCCATTTGAAACAACGGAACTTACAGGGGTGCTGACTCATCAAATCCCCACTGATTCAGTGGACCGATTCTAGCAGAGGTGCTGACTCATCAAATTCCAACTGATTCAGTGGACCGATTCTAGTTGCTATGCTAAGTGACAGGATTTCAGCCATAGAAAACTATATCTGAGCTGGGGAACCTATTGCTCTCCAGATATTGTCAGGTACCAATTCCCATCAGGTTCAGCCAGCCTGGCCCAAGGGTGAAGGATGATGAGAATAGCAGTTCTTCAACATCTGGAAAGCCAAATAGCTTGTGTATTACTAAGCCTAAATGAATTTCAGATCAATGGCTTTCAGCCTTTGGTCCTCCAAATACTGCGGTCTTCACCCCTCTTGAAAGTCCCGACCCAGCAGAGCCAATGAACAGTCCAGGTGGTCTGCGACTGAAGTGCCCAATATCTGGAGGGTCAAAGGTGATGATTCTTCAGAAGTCCCTACGTGGCTGGTTTCAAGTGACGGCCAATGAGAAATATTATCTTGAAAGCCACTGCATCTTGCAATTAGAAAAGCAAGCCTTTGACCCTCTGTGGACTCTTGGCCCCACATCTCTGCCGAAACCTGCAGTACTGCCTTAGCTCTTGAGCAATGCCATCATGCGTCAGCATTATACCTCAGGCTGCCAAGCATCCATGGCTCAAATGGAACGCAGCATCTGCAAGTAAAACTGATTCATGTTTTCTAGAAAACAAGACTGTCCAAGCAGGCTTACAAACAAGATGGCAAGTATTTTGCTCTTTTTCCAGAGGAAATGGGAAACTTTAGCAGTTCCTAAAGGCTAGGTAAAAGAACCATCAGCCTCTCATCAGCACAATAAGACCCAGTGACTGTTATGTTCCTGACTCTTTGAGGTAGAGCCTGAAAATTTACTTTTTTGGAATTTAACATCTGGATTGACAGATGGTTTGTTCTGGGTAGGGTTTTTTTTCTGAGCATCAAAACTTAAGCCCTCCTCTGACTAGTTCTTATTTGTCAGTGCAAATGCACAGGAAATGACTGCATTGACACCCCCCCTTGCCCTGAACACATGCTTTCTTGGAAATGAGTATCACACATTGCAACCAAATTCCAAGCCAGCATACGACAGTCTTAGGGCTCCAAATATCTGTGACTGCAAAGTGGTAAAACAGCACTAGGGAAATGCATCTGATACCCGAGACTCTTGTGTTGAGATCTTCAGGTGGAAGGTAGGTGATATTACAGAAACATTTTACACATCTAGAGCACCAAGGAATTTTTAAAAACAAACAAAACCACAACATGAGCACATTTCAATTTTTTTAAAAACGAACAAACAAAACCACAACATGAGCACATTTAGTGCTTACACATAAGCTTAAAAGATGGTTATAGTTGCTGCTCCTGCTGTGTGCAGTGCTCTGGCAGAGGTGGTTCAAACATAAAGCCAAACCATGATTTGCAGTGTATGCATACAAGCTGATCAGAGGGTGTGCAGCTCTCTTTTTCTACCATCTTCTCCAGGATTGTTTCTAGGGATTGCCAATGAATGGGCTCTCAGGGCGCTCCTCCTGTTTGTTTGTTTTTCAGTTTGAATGCAATGCAGATTATGATTTGGCATTACAATGGAACCAGCCCTCTAGGAAATCTATCCACTGCAGCAGAAAACAATATATTTGAATAAGCCAATATCATGGTTTGCATGTCAATTTCAAACCATGGTTTCAGATCCTAGTTTGCTGACTGCTAGCAAACCATGTTTTGTCAGATGTTACAACAAAAAACTCTCGCAGTCCAAACAAAGGCAAATAAAATTACAAATGTATTCTAACAGCCTCCAACAACTGTCAGAAGTCAGAGGGGCTGCATGTTATGTTCAAGATTAGAGCTTGAAATTGTTACTTCAGAGGGACTATAACATCCACAATTCCCCACTGAGCATGGCCAGGGGGTTTTGGAAGATGAAGACGTGAAAAGAGATTTTTCAAAGTTCTATTTTAGGTGTACTCTTGAACTGCTCTGAAGAGGTCATTTATGTTCATAGCAAAATGTATGATAAGGTTGCATTTCACAGAACACTGAGACTGGGTGAATTTTCTTGCTGTACAATGGAAAATGTGTATGTGCCTCCAAAACATATATGAAACAACTCACAAGAGTGTGATGTTTAAAGCAGCACTTTGAAATACTGTGCTAGGGTTTACATTGAAATTGTTGCTTGGCGTTATATAGTAGGACAAGCAAAAAGATCCATTTAATAAAAACAAGTAACATTTGGAAAAATAACAAACTTTACTCCCAGACTGTTATTTTTAGAATACTAAAAATGTTTGCTTGTCCTGTTGTTTAATAAAAGAGCAACAATTACAACATCAACGCCTGCACATTACGCCCCAGGTCTGATTCAAATTAATATGCTGATAACATTGACTCGGTGAGATGGTTTCCTTAATGCTGTTCTTCACCTGTTTTGCAGCCTTATATTTTACTCAACAACCCTAAAAATAACAGCATCCCTTCCTTCAATATATTTATTTGTAGCAAAAATATAAATGCCAAAAGTTCAGTGCAGTAAATGGCATTACAGATTTGTAATGACACTAAACTGTCAGTATATATTTCTACTGCAAACAAAATTAAGAGCAGATCAACTGCCTACGATTTCGGCTGCCTATGATGTTATTAATGTATTCAGATAATATCTCACTATTTTTAAAAAAATCTGTTGTTTTTGGCACCTGGTGGGTCTTAAAACTAATTCACACAAATTTACAAAACAACCAGTGCTAGCATTGCAGAACGAGTGTGTTTTTTACCTTCACTATTGCATGCCAGAGACTGGCAAGTGCAAAGGCTCGTATAGCTAATAACCACTCTGCTATCTGAGGGTTCTTGGTTGTGTATTGTATATTTGAAAGCATTTCCTTATAGCCGGCTGTATCCGCTGAAGACATGAGGCTCAAGTAGTCAAGAAAAATAAATGGGTTCTGGTTGTATACAAGTGCCAGGGAATATTCGCTCAGCGCAGCAGCAAGAACGGAATTCAGCTCCGAAGACTGGAATTCCGTAGAGTCCAATCCCTCAAGAAAGGCAAGGCTAACTTCATCCTCAATAACCCCCATTTCCAGTTCCAACAGTTGTTGTTTTTGAACGTCCTGGAGCTCAGCCAGCCAGAAATGTGCAAAGCGAACATAGTTATCTCCAAAACGACTCCACTCGCCCATCTCGCTAATGAGGTTCTGGGCTCTCTCCAGCCAGCCTGTTGCTCTGGCAGGGTCGAAATACTGGAAGATCTTCTCAAACAGATCTTTTTCAGGAGAGAAAAGCAGACCAGGCAATTCCTTGGAGGATGCAGCACCATTCACAGCCTCCCTAGGATGAGGCAGCCTTTTTTTGCCAATATGAGGCAGTGGAACAGCCTTGAAGAGAGGACAATTCCTGATCTTGAGAGCAAAGAACTCGTTTTGCAAATGATTGTGATCCACAACCTGACTGCTGTTTAATAATGAGCGGATGCTTGGAAGACGAAGAATCTCATTCTCCTGATTCAGGGCATTTCTGTGCAATTGATCATGTCCTAAATCATCTTCCCGATCCATATTAAAAGAGAGAGGCAACACTCGTCTGTCCTCCAAACTCTGCATCGTACTGAGAAACAGTATGTGGTGGGATGCTTCTCATTTGCAGGATTGGACATCAATTAATTAATCTCAATATGAACCTGAAAAGGAGCACAAAAACAGAAAATCGGCATATTAAGGCTTAAAACAAAATCAGTAATATTAAATGAATCATCTATCCATATTACATTAAACTAGATTAACTTAATTCAGTTTTCACATTTTAAAAGCCCAAATATAGGCGATACTGATGCCGATACTGATTCCTGAGATACTGACGAAACGGGTTATTTTGGAAGAACAGCTTACCATTATCTGAATAAGGAGAATCATCATGTGGTCTCACATGCTATCGGCTGACTCAAGACTGGAATTGCCTTTTTAAAAAAAAGTCACCAAATTTATTACGTTTGAGCTACAATTAGTTTAAAACAGGGGTATGGCTCCTTCAGATGTTGATCAATTATTATTCCTACCACACCTCACCACTGGCCAAGCTATCTAGAAGTTGGTAGGAATTAGCATTCAGAAAGATTTGGACAGTCAGAATTTCTGTAGTTGCTTCATTTAAATTAGGGCTGGAACAAGCCAGGATCAAATTCACGATCATATTTTTTCAACAAGCTGTGTTACAATTCCCTCCCCCGCTTCTGTGCTAACATTAAAATAGCTTATATCAGTATAGTCCCCTCCTCAAACAAGAGTGTCTGCACAGCATTCGCAATCATCACAACTCAAGAAAGGGTTTCATTTTCACTCTATGTCTAGTGTGTTCATGTTACGTTACTTGTGATTATTCAATGTTGTATCAGTTGCCACCCCTATTTTATGCAGAGTAGTCATACATTTCTCTGTTCTATCCTGTGATACCTTCTTTCCTTTTACAGGTGGATTAGTGCAATAAAGGGTTTTCCCCCTTTAGATACGGGATATGAAGTATCTGTCATTGTCCATCAACCTCAACATTAGAATAGTTATTACATAACAATCGCTAACTTTAACCAGTAAGATACTAGCACGTGATTTATGATGTCATAATTCAGAGTGATTCTATAGCACCAAGGTCTATGAAAATATCAAATGGAATATTGGCGTGCTCCTTTTTTAAAACCCTCATCTACATGGAATTTTTAAAAAAACCTAGATGGAGATATTTTCTGGCCCCATGGGAATTCCAATGTACTGCTCACTAGCAATACTTGGGTCAATATTTAATTTGCATATATTCACATATTTCATGAAACCAGTGAAAGATGTTATGGCCCTAACTGAAGCATGGTACAGTGGGGTCTTGAGAACTGAATCCGTATTGGAAGGCGGTTCTCAAGTCAAAAAGTCTGTAGGTCAATTCTCCATTGACCATGGCCCTAACTGAAACATGGTAGTGAGCAAGCCACTTTCCACAGTGTTGCATCTACCCTCTAATCATGCAAATGCTCAATTCAAAGTTTATTTTTCTTCACCATCCTGAAAGCAATGCCAGTGGAAAAAATGTGCGGACAACTTATTTCTCACTACAGTTGGTTTGACAAAAAAGGTTTTAACATATTTCCGAAAGCTTGCTGGCCTGTGACCGTAATAAAGAATGATGATGATGGTATTTCTGAAAGCATGAAACCTTCCTTTAGTGAGCCACACACAAGCCGCTTTCCACGGTGTTGCATCTGCCCTCTAATCGTGCAAATGCTCAATTCAAAGTTTATCTTTCTTCACCATCCAGAAAGCAATGCCAGTGGAAAAAATGTGCATACAACTTATTTCTCACTACAGTTGGTTTGACAAAAAAAGGTTTTAACATATTTCCAAAAGCTTGCTGGCCTGTGACCGTAATAAAGAATGATGATGACGGTATTTCTGAAAGCATGAAACCTTCCTTTAGTGAGCCACGCACACCCAGACATGCACAACGTCGTCAGGTGAGGTCCAAGATAAATAGGGCACAAATGTAGGACACACAAGTAGGTCATACAGTGAAATATGTGAATTTTTAAAAAAGCCCAACAGTCTTACTGTATGACGAACCATCAGTCCTTAATTAAGATGATGGGAGCCCTACACTCTGTTCGTTCTGGAGAAAAAGCAGAGTGTGAAACACAATAAATAAATAAATTAATTTACCCATCTTATAGAATCATTTAATTAATTAATTGTTATAGATTTTTTAGAACTTGTTATCCTTATGTTGTAAGCCGCCTAGAGTGGTCGAAATGACTAGATAGGCAGGGTATAAATACAATAAATAAATAAAATTTAAAAATAAATGAATAAATATGTGCATGGGTTGGTTGTATCCTTGTTTCGCTTTAACCCAGACCTACACTCAAGCGCTTCCTTTTTGGAGAACTGGCCTGCCCTTCACCTTCACGGTGTCTCTTTTCCAACCACCTCCCAATCTGAGCTACCTGGCAGGGCTGTTGTAAGAGTAAAGCGAGGATGAAGGAGAAATATAAGACACGGCTATAAGGTCCTTGGAAGAAAATGTGCATGGGTTGATTGTATCCTTGTTTCGCTTTAACCCAGACCTACACTCAAGCGCTTCCTTTTTGGAGAACTGGCCTGCCCTTCACCTTCACGGTGTCTCTTTTCCAACCACCTCCCAATCTGAGCTACCTGGCAGGGCTGTTGTAAGAGTAAAGCGAGGATGAAGGAGAAACATAAGACACGGGCTATAAGGTCCTTGGAAGAAAAGCAGGTTATAAAACGCATTACAGAAAAATAACAAAGGTATGCATGGGAAACATGAGCAGCTTAACAAATAATTGAACAATAATAATTCTTAAGTGATTCTTTTTGTCAGTCACTCTTAAATAATAATCAAGACGAGTCTGACTTATGGTGCCTCTTTGCACAGTCTTCTAGGTAGAGGGTGGGTATATATATTTTAGCGATTAAATGAACCCCCCCCCAAAAAAACCCAGAAAACCTTGACTTAAGGTGCTGTTTAGTTCTTATTTCCCATGGAAAGGTCCTGACCACCTGTTTGTATAGTGAATACACCTGTATTATGAGAGGGGCGGCTTGTTTATACGCCTTTGGACGTTAAGCACACCGACAAGACCGAAGGGGCGACCCCTCCCCGAGGCCTCCGCCATCGCCATCATCATCATCATCATCATCCCTTCCTCCCCCGGCCGCCGCCCCTCCTCCTCCTCCTCCAAAGCCAGTCACCTGTAGCCTGACGTTGAGCATCATGGAGGCCACGACGTAGAGGTAAGGGAAGTTGATGCGGAGCTTCCAGGCCAGGTCGAAGAAGATGAGGAGGGTCCGCGTCAGGCCTTTGCAGAAGACCCCGTAGGAGCGCGCCGCCACCGACTGCGAGAGCCGGGCCGACAGGGCGGACAGGAGCGCGCCCGCCGCCGCCATGAACGCACGCACGCACGCGCACCACCACCTGCTGCGGCTGCT